GTTTCTGCCTCCCTCTATCATGTCAGTTATGCATGTACCTCGCATCATTTGCTAGTGTGAAATTATTAGTGAACATTTCCTTCTGGTTTGCCCAAGGGATGTTTGAGACTAGGTACAGAAAACTGGGATGATACTCTAATCTGTTAAAAATTATCTGGGCATCCTTTTTATGTCTCTTAATGAAGTTTTTAGCTCATATAATTCATTCAAAATGCAAAAGAAAGTGCTTTCCCATTGACTGTTAGGTTGAGGGATAAAAATTAGTTTAGATTGCAGACTCAGAAATGTGACCTGTTATTGTAGGGGGAGATTTCAATGTCTTTCCATTGCCAGAGTTTGGTGTATAGTAGAGTTTAAGCCTAGTAGCTCTTACTTCATAGCTGCTATGAAGAAACTTTGCCTCTAGAGCTCATTTACTGAAAAGAAATACTTTTTATGAGATGGAAGTTTCATATTCATTTTGAATTCATAGACTAATTTACCATTCCTGTGAGAGGAATGTGTTTGTGAGCATTTTGGTGGATCTTTTCAGAGAGAAAGGTCAAGTAATTTTGCATTCAGTTAAAGATGCTGTGCTGCTTCTGCAAGGTTTAGGGGACTAATGAGAAAAAGAGGAGGCTGAAAACTTTGTTTATGACAAGTAGTTGATTCAATTATTATGTTTCTTGGTAAGGTATGTTTCTAAAAGTGATTATTTAAGAAGGTTCATATTTAATTGAGCAAGGCTCTTTGCAGGGGAGATTGGACTAGATGACCTTCAAAAGTCCTTCCAACCCAAACTATGTTGTGATTTTATAAATCTGTGTGAAGCTTTTTATGTTAGACTACTTGTATTAACACTCTAATGAAAAAATGCCTTTAGATGTAGTATACCATAAATACAGTGGAAGAAAACAAAAGAGGTGATTAATTATTTGCATCACATTTAGTTAAAACACATTTGGTTCAACTGAAAGAATCAAATATGATTAATAAATGGTGTTGTAAATGAAAATTTGTCCAGCCAAATTAATATGAAAAAATAAAATACTTTTTTGCAATCAAATTCTATCTAGCCAGCCACAAGGAAAGCACAGAGCCGAGCCCGGGGTCAGCCCTGGGTGTGCAACAAGGAGTCAGCCTCAGCAGAGGTTTTCCTCCATGCCCACACACCTCCATCCTGGCACAAGCAGTTTTTATAGGGAAAAGGCCAAGATTTCGGCAGTCAGTCTTTTCTTCTATTCAGAGTCTATAGGTTAAAATATTTTCTTTTTTGTTGATGAGGGAGAGCAATTCAGTGTCTGGAGTTGTTGAATCCCTTGATGAAGTTTACGGGAATTCTGCATTCACATGTATCTGCCCAAGGATTTCCGTGACATCCATCTCGGGTCGTTTATGCGATGATCAGCGCCTGGGGTCCCCGGTATCTCTCCAGACATGGCCCATCTCCCGGCCCAGCCACGTCCTTTTACTTGTAAATTGGGTTCCAATATACACCAGGTTTTGCCTGCAGGGTGGTGGTGGTGGGGGGGGGTTCCTAATACAAACGTGTATAACCCAATTTTTATCTACTACACATAACAATGGCATGCTTCTTCTGAGTACCTGTGAGCAGAGTGTGTGTTCTGGGCGTCAAAAGCAGTATTCTTTTGCATTGCTATTACTCTAGATATTGTAAGGTCCCTAGATTTGATTTGGTCTGTTATTTTTGAACAGTGTGCTTTCTGTGAGTGTTGTAACACAATCTGTGGTTGGAGCGTGTTTAATTCGTTCTGGTTTTTATTGAGGTAAGGGGGAGTGTGTGTGTCCCCTGGCCCACACTCCTGCTTGCTTCCTACATATGTTTAACGGTTTGAGTATACACTGTTATTTTTGTTAAGTACCTCAAAGAGTTTTATGGAGATTGAAATGCTGGAGTGTGGTGAGAGATAAGAGAGATAATAGAGAGGATTTGGGGAACCAACAAAAAGAGATTAAACAGTATTAAGGGCAAGTTTAGGGATCTTGGATGTGAGTTGGAGACTGGGTCAGTGCATGTTATCTTCTTGAATAGGATTTCGTTCCAAGCCCAGACTAGAAGTTATATGTTTTGATCAGTCAGGAAGAAAAGAGACTGAGAAAATAGAAGGAATTGAAATGGAAAAAAATCAAGTTTCCTGAAATACAGGAATAGTTATGAATGTTTTATGTCACCAGTTTCTTTCCATAACCTTTCCCTCTACTCTGTGAGATGAGTTTAGACAACAAACAAACAAGCCAGTGTCACAACAACAAAACTCCTTACAACCAAACCACAAAAAAACACCACAACAACAACAACAACAAAAAAAAAATCAACAAAAAACCCATTAAAAAAATGGAAACACAAAAAAAAACACGTGACCCCCTGGATTATTCCAGAGGTATCCAGGACAGTATTGCAGTTTGTCTTCCTAGTGATTTGTGAAGTATATGTGAATGCACATGCTTCTTGAAAGTGAGATTCACATGGATAAGACTAATGAATAATGTCAGGTTAAAAAAAAAAAAAAAACCATGAGAAAATGAAGCTATAATTTTCAGAGTCCAAATAGAATTGACTTTGTCCTGGGGACATGGAGCTCAAGTTCTCTCTGACAGAAGCATATGCAACTCTTATCTGATTCTTAAAATAACTACTGCATGATTTCTAACTAAATGAGTATAGAGAAGTTTCTTCTTCTTTTCTAGCTACCACAGAGTTTTTTCAAAACAAAACTGAGCAAAGTGAGAAAAATTAGGCATTTCTGGTTTGTTCCAGTCATTAAACATATAAACATAGTTTGCCAGCCAAGAAGCCATTCTGTTCTTTTATGCTGGCTGCCAAGAGGCCTGTTCTTATTCTTTCAGGTCAAGTGAGCCACACAGTTTACATATTTAATAGCAGCCAGGGGAGGTTCCTCCCAGCCTTTCAGATATTATTTTTGTTAAGTTTTTTCCCCCATGTATAGTTGGAAGTAATGTGTATTAGATAGACATCACTGACATGTTGCTAAATACTTAGAAAATGGGTATTAGCAGGTTTACAGCAATCATGTATGCTATATCTCTCCTAGAAGGCACAGCGTTTTCATTGTATCTAGTTAGCTTTTAAGATTTGTCTTCAAAATTTAGATGAATATTAACTCGTGATTTTCGTAGACTTGGTTGGTCAGTGCTTTTGTCTTCATACCATGGTGGGCACTTGCAGAGGTGCTCATGCCCTTCAGTGGTAGCTGTGCCACTTCTCAGCAGGCACGGTCTCCACCTGGCACTGCTTCCCCTGCCTTGCTCTCAGGCACTTGTTGTGGAGGTGTTATCGCTGTGGCCTTGCACCTGCACAGTCATTACAGCAGGGTTTCTCAGGAGTAATGGACTGCAGTGTGGGAATTGCCTCTTTTTTTTGCCCCCTTTGGGTGTAGCTTGTGTTTATGGCAGGAGTGTGAGCTGTGACCAGCAGGCACTGACTCAGCAGTTGCCCCGATCAGCATGTGCTTTGCTGAGGGCCAACAGCACTGTAAGGAGGAATGGCTGAGAGGGCTTGAGCGAATCCTGGGCGAAATGTATGTTGTCACTACAGAATTACAGAATGGTTGGGGTAGGAAGGGACATCTAGAGATCACCTAGTCCAACTGTCCCTGCTAAAGCAGGTTCACCTGGAGCAGGTTGCACAGGATCATGTCCAGATGGGCTTTGAATATATCCAGGAAAGGAGACTGCAACCTCTCTGGGCAGCCTGTTTCAGTCTTCTGTTACCCTCAAAAAGTTTTTCCCTATATTCAGAGGCATTTTCCTGTTTCATTTTGTGCCTGTTGCTCCTTGTCTTATTGCTGAGTGTCACTGAAAAGAGTCTGACCCTGTCCTCTTGCTACTGTGTTTAAGATATCTGTATGAATTGATAAGATCCCCTCTCAGTAATCTCCTCCAGACTACACAGGCCCAACTCTTTTAGCCCTTCCTTGTAAGATGTATGCTGCAGTCCCCTCAGCATCTTTGTAGCCCTGTACGGGACCCTCCCCAATACTTTCTGGTCTTTCTTGGGCTAGGGAGCCCAAAACTGGACTCAGCACTCCAGATGTTGCCTCACCATGGCAGAGTAAAGGGAGAGGATCACCTTCCTCAACCTGCTGACCATGAGAAAAATACTCTGGAGAAGCCACTTGTTAGACTGGAGGGAGTCCAGGGGAAGGGCACTCATCTGGGGGATCTCCAACACTTTTCTTTCCAGCTGGCTGCAAGGTAGTTTTTTCTTTTTCCTCTTACCTTTTGTTTTCATTTCTTCCCCAAACTGCTTTCACCATCAGAGTTATTATAGTTATTATATCTTCTAATAAATTTTTTGCTCATGTGAACCTGTCTCAATATTCTTTGTTGCTACTTGTTTCCCTTGAACACTTGCAGATTTGCAGCACCCCATTCTTCCACCCCCCCTTTTTTTTTTTTTTTTTTTTTTGCCTGATGTGCTAATTTGCTTATTAAATAATTCCAGTGAAGTTACAGCCAAGATGCATATGTTATATAGAGGGCTGTTTCTATAAATGAAGGGCAGAGGGATAGTCATGACTGTGTTCTCCTGGTATGCTGTTTTTAGTAACAGTTCAGTGTTGTAAGAAGGGCTTGGGTTAAGTTTAGTAGCAGTGTGCCAACAGCTGATTATCTCTTTGTTCTTTGGGGTTTTTATGTAGTGTAGGAATTTTTCTGTCTTTACAATGACAAGATACTTGTAGTTTTAGTTGAGACTAGAGTATGTTTTAGTCCATTCCAGAGCTGAATAACATTGAGTGGAAAGCTGAAATGACAATGTGGTTTGGTTTTATGAATTACATATTATGGAATATATTACATGGTGTCATACCACTATAAGCCAAGTGTAATTAGGATGTGAACGTGAATGCAACACTAAAATATATACCAAATTTTCAAAGTTTGATAATTGCTGTTGATTATTCTTCTTTGTTACCTTATTCTATTGTAAAATTGTCTGGTTTGCCTCAGAAAATAAATGTTCTTTTAAATTCTTGCAGATTCCTGCTTCAATGTCTCGAGGATCTTGATGCCAATCTGCGAAAACTGAGTTCACGTTTGTTTGTTATCCGTGGACAGCCAGCAGATGTTTTCCCCAGGCTTTTTAAGGTAAATACCACCTAACAGTTGTTTCTATCCACAAATATGACCAACAAACTAATCACTGCTAGGAATATTTCTTGTACTGTTTCATTCAGTGCAAGTTATTTATGGAAATACTGATCTATCCTTTTGCAGTTTTTCATTAAGGTTATTTGTGTTAGTTTTGAATTTTTCCTCTCTAATGTATGTATCATCAACTGAGCTGAGTTGCTTTAAGACTTTCCTGGGTTTTGTTTCTTTCTTTCCAGAAAAAGCATTGATTTGAAATGTTTTGCTAAGTGTAGGTATTATATATTACTGCATTTTCCTTTACAGATTCCCTTTGTAGTACTGAAATAAAATTTTGTGATTTTGTGCACAAAATTTTGCACAAAAATTGTGCACAAAAGCTTGACTTGTAAAAGCAATGTTTTATTTAGGCCACATGTCTGCTGTGATTGCTTTTTGGCCATTAAAGGTGATTTAATAAGCTTTCTTCTAGTAGTAAGATTGTTAAAAGCATACTAAAAAGCAATTTCTAGTCAAAGAAATTTAAGGGTTTTGTGGGATGGGCTCTCACTGAGAGAATTAAAGCTGTGATTGATTGCTACTGATGGTAATATGTTGTCTATGGATAATAGTGTATTTAATGTAGTAGTACTATAATAGTATTGTAAAAATGAACATTTGGCAAATTGATTTGAAGAGTTTTTTCAGAATGATTGAGGTGACTGAAACATGCGAGACTGAGGGATGCAAAAGGAGATATCCATTTTTCCGAAGAGGTTGTATGTTCATTATTTTTATTCCCAGGTCTTCAAATTCAAATTCAGCCTGAAAATTCAAACCACATTTCCATCTTCATTATTGTGATTTTGTCATGAAATGCTAACTGGATGATACTTCTACTGGTTTTTCCTTGATTTTCTCTCAGTGAAGAATTTCCTGGAGGAGTACTGTGGCATTAGCTACTGCTTGCAACCCCTCAGATATTCAAGCTTGTTGTATTTGTCTGCCAAACTGAGTTTGATTGCATTTAATTAGGAGCAAAGGTCTTCCTGCTTTGTGTGTTGCCTTCTGGGTTTGAGCAACCTGTGACAAGTCTTCTTAAATACCTTAATGGCTACTTTGACTGCTCCTGTTTCAGATTTTGCTGCTAGGCTGATCTTTCTATGCCTGGCAGCCTTGGATTGCCACATTTTTAGAATATTAATTTTAGCGCTGAGAAGGAAATTAAAATAACTTGTAGTGTAGATAACATACAGCAATCATAAAAGAACATTCACATCTGTCTGTGTCTTCTGGTTCCTCAAGTTAGTGTCTTTATCATATATTGGTTCACTAAGGGGCTTTTCAGGACATCCTCTATGCTCAAACAAGTTACTGAAGCTCTTGAGGTTTTCTTTGCTTTTGAGTGAAGTTGACCTGGAACATGCATCTATGTCTTTAATTACATTTCACAACTTCTTTTGTCAGAGCAGTAGCTGTACATCAGACACTTGCAGTGCAGTGAAGGGCTTGTAATACTGAACAAAGCTTTTCAGATCATCCCTATTAAATGTTTCAAAGGTGAGCAATGATCCTGACCCTGAAGAACGAACACATGTGGAAAAGAGAAGTTCAGTTAAGTTTGGAAAAATAACTTCAGTGGAGTCATTAACTTAGGTAGGAGATAGTGGAACTTGTGTAGAGCCCTATCACAGATGCCAGTATCTCTGGATTTCCTGGGAATGAACGTATCGCTGCTATTTCTTGGTAAGGCTTTCCTTTTTACAGTCTGAACAATTCCTTCAAAAGGCAGAACACTGATCTATCTTTATCCTTAAAAAAGACCTCAAACAACTTTAGGCTCTTTTATTTAAGTTTTGGCTTGTTCTTGCCTCATTCTCTTCAATTTGTCCTGGTCTGCTTTCTGTCTTTAGCTCTTTGGTCTGGGCTTAATAAAGAGAATAGAATTGAAACAATCACTTTTTTTTTTAATGCATCAGTGTTGCTAAAACCATTCAGCAGTATGAGTAAGTGCAAAATGATCTGTGTCTGTGGTTCTTCTAATTGCCTGGCTTGTGCTGATGTGATCTGGGTGTATTCACATTACACAGCAGTTGTCTCAGAGTTTCTTGACTTCCTTAGGGATGTGACTGTTTCTTGGACACTCTTTGCAAAACGCCAGGGGAAAGAAGGGTTCAGGAAAGTATCTGCTGCAACTCGTCAGACAGTGGTTTTGTGTTACAGAGCATTATGAAATGAGAAGCAGATGTTACATGATGGGGTAGGAAGTTGCTTGAGGATTCAAGGCTTGCTGGGTTAGTCTTGGCAGACCTAAGGATGGTGGGATCCCAGCCTTGTTTCAAAGAGCAAGCACTCCTTGGAATCATCTGTCCTCAGGGCTGGGCTTCATCTAGGAGAGAGCTGGAGTTCAGAAGTGAAATCACACCCTTGGTGATTAGCATTGAGTGCCCTTGTCTCTGGTCTAAATCCAATTCTCTGAAATACTATGGCATATTAAATCAAGTCATTAAGATTCTGAGGGGTTAGAAAGGTATTTGATTGATGTGATGGCTTTCTAGGATCATCTTGTGCATACTTAAGATTTCCAATTTCCTACTGTTCCAGAAGCCTTAGCCATTATTGATCCCTTTGTTGGCTTCTTTTTCCTCACCTGTGACTGTTGGCCTTGGTAAGAGCATCTGTGACATTAAGAATACTGGACTTCAGGGTATAAGGCATTCTCTTTGTAGAAGAAAGCCTTTTTTCTTTTTTTTCTTTTTTTTTTTTTTTTTTAGTATTTGATGATTATTTGAGTGAAGAGAAGCGATTTGGAAAAGGTAAAGAAAGTGTTTGGTGATAGGGCAGGGCAGTATTTCCACACCACCTCCCCTGAAATTTCTGTTCTGTTGCTCAAGCTGACATGCATGTAAAAAGCTTTTCTGTAGAGCAAGGTACTGCTGCTGATCCATGCTCAGGAGACAGCCTTTGTCATCTTCCCCTTCTGTTGAGTCGCTAGGGTATGTGGATCCTAAAGTTAGACACGAGTTTTCAGAATTTGCATGGAGATTGTTCCATTACACATGGCATTAGTGAGCACCCACAGTAATAGGACAGATTGGAAGCTTTTTTTTTATGCCTGATAGCTACTTAGATGCCAAAAAGTTGGACTTTATTTTTGTTATTTGCGTGCCTAATATATTTGGGATCTTTATCTATCTCTGATAACTATCCACAGGTAATAGCTGGTGTTCCATTCTGCCCCTGTCCTTCCAGGTCTCCTTTCCCTGACCCTCAATCATACAGCTGAGTTGCTAAAGGACCACACTTTTGGTTTGTGTTGTAGGAATGGAACATTGCAAAACTTTCTATTGAATATGACTCTGAACCATTTGGGAAGGAAAGAGATGCAGCTATCAAGAAGCTGGCTAGTGAAGCAGGAGTGGAGGTCATTGTTCGGATTTCACATACATTGTATGACCTAGACAAGTAAGTTACCATTTACCTTGGATTTTAAAAAAGGAGGGGAAAAAACCCTTGGAATTTTATGTAGTATTTATTTATATATTGTGGGCTACTTTCCACACCAAACAGTTCTTGGTTAGGAAAACTATGAGTTTGTTTTATGTTTCACTTTTATCCATCCATACAAATTTTATTACATACTGAGTAGAACTTTGAAACTCCAAAAAATTATATGTAACTGAATCTGAAATGCAGTTTTAATTTGGAGTTCCTTTAAAAATAATGTTTATGTTAATTAGCTGTCATTTATAATTAAGTTACTCAAACATGCCTGTAACTTCTCCCAAATAACATCTGGTTTTGTTTAGTTGCTTTGTTTGTTTTGTCTTTATTTCACTTTTTGTACAGAAGTTATGAGAAAGTCCTTTAAATTTTTAAAGAACTGTTTTCTACCAATTATCTATTCAATAAGTAATTGGGGATTGTTTGCTATCCCTGTGTTACCTTATTTAATGTCTTGTTATATTTTTCCACAGATCTATTTAAGGGATTGGTGTTAATTCCCTATTATAGAAACATAATCCACAAACTAGTTACCAGTGTACCTTCTCTTAATATTAGGTGATTTATTATGGTAGCTACCCATTTTATTCTGTTACAAGCCAATGTATAAGAGACTGTTAGACATATGGGAGGGCAGCAAAATTGGAAGTATTTACTTTTTGAAACCAATAGCTGACTTTGGCAATTGGAAATTCTTTTTTTCCCCTCCCACCCAAACACCCTGCTAAATAAGAATTTGGTTCAACCTGTCACTTTGTAGATTTTTCTTTGAAGTTTTCCTTTTTTCCAAGACTTCAGATATATTTTAAATGGCAATGCAAAACACAAAACTGTGTTTTTACAGCAGTCAGTGTGTATAAGCCACATGTTAATTTCCCCCCACATTAAGGCAGTTTTAATATTGACTACTGTTCTCAATACCAGAAGGGGAAGGTGAATTTCTTTGAATGTAAATACTGTGGCCTTGTAGGTGACTTGGATACTTCTGTATGTAGCTAGGATCTCTGTCTGCTTTGCTTTTCTTTGCCTTGAACTGCCCATGTTCATTATATCCTTGTTCATGAGGAAATTTCTATAACCTGGGAATGAAGAAAATTGCCTTGGTTATAAACAGTAAATTTATATGTTTCCCTAGTGGGGAAAGAAGGATGGTATATTTGAAGTTCTAACTGTCTGGATTATATTTGGGGTTCCATTTAAGCTGGAGGGAGGTAAGGAGATATTTCTGTGTATGTATAGGTGTGTAAATTTGATAAGAAAAAATGTTAAATACTATTGTCTGACATGCTTATTTTCTGTTTTTCTTTTTCTTTAATATAGAATCATAGAATTAAATGGAGGACAGCCTCCTCTTACTTACAAGCGATTTCAGACCCTAATAAGTAGAATGGAGCCCTTGGAGATGCCTGTGGAGACTATAACCCCCGAAGTAATGAAAAAATGTAGTACTCCGGTTTCTGATGACCACGATGAGAAATATGGTGTGCCATCACTTGAAGAGCTGGGTATGTTCTGGGATTGCTTTGACATTTTGAAACAAGATGTAACCTACACTAAAAGCACAATACTTAAAACAACAAGTGAGGTCCTGCTAGTGGGTAATTGTTAACCTGATTGGTTGGCAATTATGGCATACAAAAGGAACAAAAAAAAGATAATCAACTCTGTAAATTTTGGTTGTTTTCTGCTAAATGACAGGTCAGGTCAAACTATACTAAGTACTGTTTGGCTTCTTGTAATACTCCCAGGGTACCAAATAATCATTAAACGACTAATTAATAGTCTTTGCTTCATTTTGTATTAAATGTACTTTTTATCTTTGTGCTTCAGGTCATTTATCTGTCATTTAGCAAACTAGTTTAGAAAGAACCACCCTCTCTTCTTGATATACTGAAAAAAGATAGTAATATGTTAATTAATTACTTTAGAAGGCTCTGAGGGGAAAAAAATGTCTTACATTTCTATAAATGTAATTTAAAGGAGTAGTATCAGCTATTTTCCTGTGAAACTCCTCATCTCTTTCTAGTTTTCCCACACATCCCAAAATACAGGCGAATGTGCTATGACCTTCAAATTGCTAATGAAAAGGTCTGGATAGGTCTTGCTTAACTGTTACCACCTTGTCTAGTCCATTGGATCTCTTACAAAACAGACCGTGGTTTTTAAAGCCTGTATAAGAAGCAATGATCTCAGTATGCAGTGGTTAAACTATAGAAAGACATGTTCCCCCACACATCTGGTGAGCAGTCTTGGGGCAGGTGGGAGGATGTGGAAAAAATCTGATTGCCTTCTTTTTATTGTTCTTTTGTGCTCAAGTATGTGTTTATCGTCAAATTAACAATCTCTGTTATTTGAGGTCAGTGATACCTCGGAATGTTCTGAAGATGGCACTCATACTTTTACCTTGGTGGAAAAGTTTTTAGACATTCTGTAAATTACAAAAGTAATTATTGCTTCTTAATAGTAATTAAAAAAAAAAAAAGTTATGGCTTTAGGATAGCCTGCATATTGTAGATTTGGAAAATCTGAGGGGGTCACTTCATGCAAAAAAACCCCAAACAAACCAGTGTAATTGGGACTGAAGTAAGACCATTCAACATCTGAAATTTGCGATGTATATTAATGTAAATGTAGAAGGAAAAATTTGAGTTTTGCTGCAAGTTAGAGGTATTTGATGTGCTTTGAGAAGCCTTGGCTGCATACTGTTTTAAGACAGACTTTTTCAGGTGTCCACCTTATGGTTTTTCTAAGGATGCAGTAGTCAAGTATCAATATGCTATAATTTTGTTGCATTACAGTATAAGCAACCAAGCAATTTCTGTGTTTCAATTTGTCTTTCAGGTTTTGACACAGATGGTCTGCCTTCTGCAGTGTGGCCAGGGGGAGAAACTGAAGCTCTCACACGCTTAGAAAGACATTTAGAACGAAAGGTGTGTTTCAGATCACTGCAAGTATGACATATCTGGGAAATATGGTTACTTTTTACTGTGAAACCTAGAGGGATTTGGGCAAGTTGTGTTGAAAAAATCAAACCCACAAACTTAAACTCAAGGCCTCAATGATGTGAATCAATAGTTTGTTTTTTAAAGATGATAGTATATTATCTTTGATATGAATTTTAGACACAGTCTGTTTTACTCTTCTGTACTATAAAAAACTTAAATTTATTTTGGAAGTAATTTTATTTTAAAAAAAAACATACATTTTATAACTTTGAAGGGGAATTCTTCTGACAACTAATGTATTGCTAGTTGTCTAGGTTTTCAGTGTATTTAAAAGAAAGGCACAGATAGCTCTGGAAGACAGTCCATGCCTTCTGCATTGAGTTGAATTACCTTCTAGAGGTTCTGCTGATTGAATGCCTGTGTATCGTAGGTGACCTGACCATCTGTCCACTGTTTGGATTCAGATACAGACAGTGTGTGATTTCTCCCTTTGAGTCCCTATGTAGGCTCTAGTCTGATTTTGCTGTGTGGATTTTGTTTTGTTTTCTTTTTTTTAAGGCTTGGGTAGCAAACTTTGAAAGACCACGAATGAATGCAAATTCCCTTCTGGCAAGCCCTACAGGGCTCAGTCCCTACCTCCGCTTTGGCTGTTTGTCCTGTCGGCTCTTTTATTTCAAATTAACGGACCTGTACAAAAAGGTAGGACTTCTGTGTAGTCAGATACATGTTGTTAGATGCCATGGTTATCACCTACTTCTCCTAATAATTTTTTTTCTTTAATGGTGATCTTCAGGTAAAAAAGAACAGCTCCCCTCCCCTCTCCCTCTATGGCCAGCTGTTATGGCGTGAATTTTTCTACACAGCAGCGACTAACAATCCACGGTTTGATAAAATGGAGGGGAATCCTATCTGTGTTCAAATTCCATGGGATAAGAATCCTGAGGCTTTGGCCAAATGGGCAGAAGGCAGGACAGGTTTTCCTTGGATTGATGCAATTATGACACAGCTTCGTCAGGAAGGCTGGATTCACCATTTAGCCCGGCATGCTGTAGCATGCTTTTTGACTCGAGGTGACCTCTGGATTAGCTGGGAAGAAGGAATGAAGGTATTGTTTCTTATTCTTGAATTTCTTAAAGTCTCTGTTAAAGTTTCAGATGGTAATTCTAGAATTGTTACTGTGTGGTGTAAGTTGAATTTTAAACCTTAAACTCTGGGCAAGATGAAATCGGTTCTGATAAACCAGATGTGCTGAAATTTTGCCTCTTGAAAGTCCTCTTCAATTGGAGTGTTACATTTCTTGCAGTCAGAATAGGTCTGAAATTCTTTCATATTTGAGATTTCTTCCTAAAACTTGCATAATTTTTGTAATTTAGATTTTTTTTTCCCCCAATCATTCTGTGTGTGAATAATTTCTGTTCATATCTTGTATCTGCTTCCCTGCAAAGGGTAAGTACTATGGGAATAAAAGAGAGAAAACTAAAAACTGAGAATGTGCTTTCAGCAATTTCTGTCACTTTGCCCAGTGTTAGAACTGTGAGTAAAGGCAACATGATTTGGCTGAAGGCTCATTGCAGTTAATTTTGTGCAAGATGCTGAATTTCAAATCTAAGATATCAGGTTTTTGAAGAAAACAAGAGAATAATTTATTCTCACTAATTAAGCCTTTCAATTAATTTTACATTTTTAGAAGTGTAGCATAATTTTTACTAAGCAATAATAATCTATGAAAAATTGAGAATTGGACAATTTTATTTTTGAAATCTAAAAAATGTCATTGCCATCAGGACTTTGACCCCATATTTCTATATGTATATAATCATATGAAATTTTCTTTCTTAACAAATCAGTTGTAAGCAAACACCTTTCAATTAAAAGTTTTGGTTACTTCTGCAGTTCACAAATGTAGATACTGAAGATGCACATACATAGGTAACTCAGTATGTTCCAGATAAATTACTCTGTAAATTACAGATACATGGCACCTTGTTCTTTCTTTTGCAATAATACAGATAAATGAAGGCTCCAGACTTGTACAGTGGAAAGATGTTGAGCTCAAGTTTCCATAGCTAGCAAAAGTTAATCTGGCATTCCCTGTGGTGTTATTTCCAAAGTCTTACTAGATGGCAGCATCTAGTGGAAAAATTGTGTGCTAACACACTTCATGTCTAAGGATCTTGTTGCATTATGAGTCACTATCTATTTGAAACGTTTTTTGAAAGCGTTTTAAGATAAATCCTATTTTTCAAAATACTTTTTTCCCAAGTAGTTGCAGATGTTTAGTAAAAGATACTTTTGTAACACTACCTCAGTGTATACTGTGGAATTAATGCCTTATTGAGTATATGGAGAAAGAGATTGAGAGATCGTTGTTTAATAGTATTACCTTATTTAGACCTTGTACAGGAATAATATTTGTTGAAGTTGGTGGCAGTACTACAATGCTGAGTTTTTAGTGCCTTAGCATGAAGAAAGATGGTTGCTTTGGAACATTTGGAATTTATGTAAGTTTGAAAGGAAACTCAGAACTTGCAAAAATATGTTTAGATAAGTGCCTGTTCTTAAAACTACTTCTAGGTGCACTCTTTTTAGGACTGTTGTCCTTCACAGAATGAGGCTTCGCTCTGTTTTTTGTCAGCCTGCATTGCTAATGGTCTGACTGAGCAGATAAACTTCCTTTTTTACAAGTTAGTACTGCCTGTGTTGAAGATGAAAAAGCAATCAGTGCTGGAAGCTTGAATGTTTCACAGCTGCTGACCCCCAGATTTAAAGTAAAACCCTCATAAATCTTCAACTTGCTCATGTTTTGTTTGGTTTTTTTTGTTAGTTTGTTTATATATATATATATATATATATAATATAATAGGGGTAGCAGGTAGCAAATTAGAATCAAAGTGTTTGGAAGATTTTTTTTTTTTTTTTTTTTTTGGCCTTCAGACCAGAATTCATTATCTGTCACACCAACCTTCAGTGTTCTTGGTGGTTCATAATGCCTCTCAGAATTTGAGTGTGTTCTCAAAACTGTTGACTTGCTAGATTAACTATTAGCCTTCAAGAACACAACTACATGTTTGGGGTGCCCTAAAACTCTTGAATTCTACTCTTGGGATTCCTCACATAGTCAAAGTTGCTGTGCAAGCTGAGGTATTCAGACCAGCAGTTTGAGTTCAAAATGTACTTTCTATGTTCCCCATCTTCTGGTAGTTTGCAAAGCTTACTCAACTGATGTGATGAAGCAATTCTTCTGAAAACAGCAAATAACACTTGGAAGCCATTTTCAAGGATGTGTTTATTTAAGAATGTGTAGCTTGCTGAGATGTTTACAAGTTTGTTTACAGGATAAAAGCCTGCTTATGGATTTTTTCTTTTGTTCTTGAGTTTGTCATTAAGGCATTTGCAATTGCATACTGAGCATTCAGTGAATGCTGCCAGGTAAGAAAGAGCTTAAATACAAAACTCAGGAACTAATCCTGAAAAAGTAGGTGTCTTGAAGGTGTGCCATGCCCAGACTAACTTGTTGCTCTGATTTCTTAAGGTCTTTGAAGAGCTGTTACTTGATGCAGATTGGAGTGTGAATGCTGGAAGCTGGATGTGGCTGTCCTGTAGTTCCTTCTTTCAACAGTTTTTTCACTGCTACTGCCCAGTGGGTTTTGGCAGAAGAACTGACCCAAATGGGGATTACATCAGGTAACTCACAATCTAGAAATTGTAGTGCGTGTTGCCTAAATTATTCAGCAGCTTTATACTTAACATGAACTTTTTACCTTTTTGTTATTTTTTAAAGACGTTATTTGCCAGTACTTAGAGGTTTCCCTGCAAAATACATCTATGATCCTTGGAATGCTCCAGAAAACATCCAGAAGGCTGCAAAATGTATTATAGGAGTTAATTATCCCAAACCAATGGTAAACCATGCAGAGGCAAGCCGTTTGAATATTGAGAGGATGAAACAGATCTACCAGCAGCTTTCACGATACAGAGGACTGGGTATGATTATAGATATTTGCTTTATTTATTTATTTAAAACTTCTCTCACCTCCTAGCAATTAATAATTTAGTCCCATAGCAGTGAGAGTCTGGTCTAAGCTCAGGGTGGTAACCAGGGTTCGTGTCCAATTTACTACGTGTAATTGAGAAAGGAAAGAGTTTGAGGGGAGTGACTCTCCAAATATTTCCTGAATTTTTTTTCTCTGGGTCTTTGGGAAGTGTTTTTGTTAAGCTGGGCCTTCTGTGCATTCTGGTAAACTCTCGTACAGTTTAGTTTAGTTTTAGAAATTTAATATGGTTCATAACTTCAGTGATACTGTATTTGCATATGCATGCAAATGTGTTGCAGAAGTAGGCACCAACCCAGCCCCTGGTGGATTCTTCCCTTTACTCTGAGAGGTAAACCAGGTGTACTACACTGCTCAGGAAGGTGTGAGCAGTCAGAATGTTCAGATACTGGGTATTGAATCAGGATATGTTGCATTTAAACATATTGGATATGTGTAACTAAGAAATATTGGAAAAGTTATGCAGAATATGATGTAGAAAAAATTAAGCAGATATGAACTAAAATTGTTTGGCAAGAAACAGAAGCAAGCAAGACAGAGAGGCGTTCTCCTGTCATAAAAGTAAACTACTCAAGGTGAGGGTGGAGAATTGGCTATCACAAGGAAAACAGAATGCTGCACTTGATTTCCCCCCCTGCACCAGCTATCTTTCTTTATATATTTTGTCTTGTTTTTTAGGTCTTCTTGCAACTGTGCCTTCTAATCCAAATGGAAATGGAAATGGTGGCCTAATGGGCTATTCACCAGGAGAAAGCATTTCTGGTTGTGGTAGTACAGGAGGTCAGTCAAATTCTTTCAATACATAGAATTATTGTGACTGGACTACATGAACTTCTTTTATAATAATGCCCTTGCCTTTTTGTATTATAAGAAAGAATTGCTTTCATAAGACAATTCTGAGTGCAAGTCACAAATGTTTTCAAATTTATTCACTTCTTGATAGTATTTGAATATAGACATCTTTAAATTATTTTTTTAATCTCAAATATGCAAATATTTTTCACCTGTGTTTTTCCCCCTCCAAAAATTACTTATTAAGTACTATCTAATTTTATTTCAAAAGCATTTGAATATGATTTTGTCCTAGAAGTATATAAGCATCCTGATGTTTATAATAAGGTTGACTAGTGAACTTTCAAGTGAGAATTATTAACTTGTAAAGCTTTCTAATTTTGGCATTAGATTCCTTACTGGAATTTATTTCTATTAAGAAAAAATAAGAACAGTATTAAGATTGTATTAATCCATGGTGTATCTTAAATACTATACACACCTTAGACTCTTTAATGTAAAAGGATACAGCGGAAGTGGAAATCTACGGGCTTCATATTCTTTGTAGGCTTTAGTCAAGGTTGTGGAGGAAGATGAACCTTATTGTTCTTAACCAGTTCAGTTCTCTTAAAGATTTAAAATACAAACTCCTTGAAGCAGGGTTCTTGAGCTTTTATTTCTTGTAAGTTTAGGACATGTATAAGACAAGAAAGGCTTATTTTTAAAACAACTAACATTATGTTAACTCTTTTCTCTTTAAAATGCATTAATATATACATGTACTTACACTTTTCACATCGGAAATGTATTCCTTTTGTAGGAGGTTCAGTGAATATGGAAAGACAAAAACTGTTAGAGCTTTGGACCTGTAAATGTGGGGATTTGGGGGGAAAAAAAAAAGTTTAAAACCCACAATAAAAAGCCTACGTCTTGAAAAGGGGTAAACCCCCTGCATTTTAAATCCCAAAACTGGAGTTTTACCTTCTGTTGTATTTAAGTCTTCTCCCTGCCTCTCTAGGAGCTCAGCTGGGAACTGGTGATGGTCATTCTGTTGTTCAGTCGTGTGCCCTCGGGGACTCTCATACAGGAACAAGTGGAATTCAGCAGCAAGGTATTATGGCAGTGCCTGTCTGTAGTGGATCTCCAAATCCTTGCAACTATGGAAAACCAGACAAAACATCAAAATAGCATGGGCAGATTTTGGGTGACAGCTGCTGTCTGCAACGTGAACTGACCTTGTTTCTGTTCTTGAAACATAGAAATTATTTCTTAGAGTGAACTTGCTTGTCTTGTCATTTTTATCTCTAAAGTACTCATCTAGAGCAGTATTTGTATGTTTTGAGTGGGAGGGATCACAAATAAGACTAAAAAAATAATAAATAAACATTAGCCTAGGTTACTTTAAAAGAAACTGGAAACCAGAAGTTCACCTTGTGTGTTAGATATCAAAATTTGTATGTTATCTTTTCCCTGATTGCACTACCACTCTTTCCATATATAATTAATTTCTGCAGTTTTGTGTGGATAGTCTCTTATTGTAGAAGCAAATATTTTTTTACTTTAACTATACAGAACCTTAAGCTGTGGTTTGTGATAGATCCAAGTTACAATGAAATTTAACCCAACTGTTTGTTTCTTTGCAGTCTTAACAGAGGTGGTGTGTTTACTGATCAGGAAAGGCTGTAATCTGTGTTTTGTTTAAGCACCCAGAACGTAACTGGAACACCGCAACTGTTCAGAACAAGAAACCTTGCAACTGCTTCTGCTGATTGCACTATTCACGCAGAACTCTCAGTTTCAAGGTTGCCAGTAGATAGTTTACATGAATCAGAAGAAAGTTCTCATCTTTCTTTTAGCTTACTTGCTTTTTTTTTGTTTTTCCACAACTAAGTTATGGCAAGGATTCATTTGCGTTGCTATAACAAAATAATGAAAAGGACTTGGCAGAAGTAAAATTTAAATTTAAAATGTAATTTAAAATTTCTAACAGCTTATAATTAAAGTGTTTGGGCATACAAGCATTCTGCTTGTTGCAAATATAATGCACAAATACATAGGCACTAAATGTTCACTCTGCAAATATAAGTGCATATATGTTTAACTGCTGTGGACTACCATGAGGCTTATTTTTCTTTTGCATTCTGCATTCAGGATACTCTTCTGCATTCAGGATAGTTTCTGGCAGGATTTTTCTTGATGATGGAAAATAAATCAATTGGCTTCATTTTGTTGTTGTACAGAACATAATTTTACACTTGCTTGAAGCTCTAAATTTTATGTAGTATAATAAATATCTACTGTATCTGAACAGGTTACTGTCAAGCAAGTAGTATCTTACACTATGCTCATGGAGACAATCAGCAATCACACTTATTGCAAGCAGGTAATTTAAGCAATAATGAAAAAAAAAAAAACCCAAACACTTTTCTTGGATATATAAGGGTGCAATAGAGTCTTAATGTAAACACTGGTTTTAAATTATCAGGAAGAACGGCCCTTGGTACTGGCATTAGTGCAGGGAAACGCCCAAATCCAGAAGAAGACACTCAGAGCGTTGGACCAAAAGTCCAGCGACAGAGCACAAATTAAACTGGTAAGATCTCAGGCACCTTCAAGTTATCAAAGTTCTGTACAAATTTTGTGTCTGTGATAACATTCATGTCAGTGCAATGCAAAGGATCCTAAACTATTGCTGTACGTATTTATTTTCTGGGGATGGGACAAACAGACAGTATGAAATTTCTGGCTCTAAGAGTTTGTGAAGTATATGCGATAGGAAGTAGTGGCAAAAATCAAGTCAGACTGAAGATTATCAGACACAGGTGTTAATGAAACATATTAAAGATTGTCCAGGTGTTAATGAAAGGAAAATGGATAAACTGTGATTTTAATACATTAGCAGAGCTGCTTAAGTAGCTTCACTTACTCTCTGTTCCGACATCTCACCTTAAGCTGTGCCAGTAGCATTGTTTGTATGAATGTATCGTGACCTGAATCAGGAGACTAAGACAAGGTAAAAGGAAGAGCTCAGGGCCTGGATTAGTTTAGATACGTAAGTGGACTAAGCAGAACATACTTCAGAGAGATACTGCCAAAAACCTGCAAAATGCTGATGTGGTTCCTGAGTGGGAAGATGTAGGGACAAATACATCTTTGTCATTGGTCTGTAATCAAAGCAGGTTACTCAGAGTGCCCAAGTTTGTCAAGTTGCGGTGAAAAAGACTTGAATTTGAAGAAGGCATTGTAGATGGATACAAACAGGTGTGAAAATGTGGAGAGAGAAGCAGAAAACTGGAGAATGAGTTTTGTATGTGTAAAATAATCAAAACAGAGAAGATAAGTAAACTGTGATTTTTAGATAAAGTTGGGAACAGGATAGAGGAAAGAAAAGGTCAGAATTGTTATACTTCTTCCCCCAGTGAGCTTGATTTGAGAGGAACAAGGCAGATGACCTGAAAAGAATTGAGATTAAATTAAATGAAAGAGTAATTACCACGGAGGAAAGCCAAATAATGGAGGACTGTCTTAAGTAAGAGGGGAATGGATTTCAAGACTGGGAGTGTGGCTGCAAAGGTGAAGTGATCAAGATGTTTAAAAGAACCAAGTGGAGCATTGGCTGTCATAAAATTTGAAGAATAAGTAAGAATAGCACAACCAGTGAGATAATAGCACATGGAGAGACATTCTTGGAACTGGAAAACAGGGATTCCATACAATAAGTGTAGGAGATGCATTCATCATCTCTAGAAATTAAAAGGGAAATTCAGGCTACTTCATTTAGTTTTGACAGCAAGATCTAATTTTTTTTGTTACACAGTGGCAGCACTTTGTCAGACTTACTGAGGTGTATGTTGAACAATTGTGTTGTACTGATTTCACTCAGTGCAGAACCACAGCATTGTTTCCGTAATGCTGTCAATTGCGGAAGTGAGCTGAGACCTTAGTGAGTGATCCATCTGCTATTTTCTCACATACTGGAAGCCCTATAAATTGCTTCTGTGTTCTCAAACTGATTTCTGTTACTTGGATCGGCCTGAGTGGAACGTAATTCCAACAGAGTCTGTGTTTCAGGAGCTGTCTAATCCTTAGTATGTGTAGATTTATTCAGCATCCATGTTTTGTATTGCAGAATTCCTTAGGTGCTCGTGTCTGTGTAGAAGAAGTACCTGCAGAGCGAACGTCTGGTTCCTGTCTAAGTTCTTTTTCAATTGAGAGACAGGTTGGAGGGGTTTTTAGTTTGGCAGAGAAGATTATTTGGTTAGGGGTGTTCAAAGCATGCTGCAAAAGCATTATAGTCAACACAAACATCAGCCAAGATCATACTCAAAAACACTGCTGGCAAAAGGTTGTGTTCTTCTGAATAGCACTCAAGTAGAGAGTACAGAGGCTTTTGTTGGGTTTCTCTGATTTTGTTTCCTTCTCCTTTTAACCTCTAAGGTAAGAAATAAGAATTCTGAGTATTTGGGCCAGTACAGGTTGGGACAGGGCTTCCTGCATTGAGAAGGGGGGAATCAATATTGGTCCCTTGAGTTCTGTCTTCAAAGACTCACATCAAACTGCTTAAGAATATTTTTTTCTTCTTTTTTTCTTGCAGCTTGATTGGAAGAGAAGTTTGCCACTCAAAGAACACATGGGACAAAATTCCTGCTATTCTGTATTGGAGCTAAAGTGTTGTGAGAGTTCATGTTCTAAAAGTACATACTTTTTCATAAATTATTTTCAATTGTTCTCAGTTGTTGTAAACAAGTCCAATTTTTGGAATGCATTATTTCTAACTGGCATTTCTATGGTTTTTAACTTTTTAATGACTCTTTCACAAAGGGCAAATTGAGTTTTGTATATAAAGTATTTGGTGAAGAATTTGCTAACTTATTGTAAATATAAATATTCATGATTAGTGATAGACCCATCAATATATTTTTGATAATCTTTCATGTATATGGTAGTAGGAAAAGCTATAGTGCTGTTCTGAAAAACGGATGAAAATAGAAAGTTTGGAAGTTTTTAAATCATTATTATTTTTAGATTACATACTTGAGCTCTGTATGATCAATTTCATATTTTCATAATGTAAGTGCTTAGAACTGTGTTTAATCAAATACAGTAGAGTTGCACCGTAATTAATCACACCTGTATATAAAACACATGCCAATTTTAGTCGAGTTGTAAAATTTTCATGTATATGTCCAGTCCTTGTATTTCTCAGCTGCCTTGTTCAGTAATGACATACCTTGTTAATAAAAGAAAATTGTATATATAGATACATATGTTTGTCTTTTGTGTAGTCTATTGCTCCTGCTTATAGTTCCAAACAGAACTGTTTCAGGAAAGAAGAGAAATACTCTTTTTAGACTTAATCTGGAAGTCACAAACAATGAACTATATTACCTTTTACTTCCAAATTTCATGATACTGAAGCAAAACAATATTCAAATTGTCCAGGTCTTTTTCTTGAAACTGGCATTTCTGAAATGCCAGTTTCTGAAAATGTATTCTGACCATTAAATGTTTTTCACCAATGTATTAAATAAGTGTTTCTTCACAATCTAGGTGTTTGGGTTGGTGTTTTTTCCCTGCTGTAATTGCAATTTGCTTGATAGCCATTAAGTCTTTCCTGCAATGCATTTAATTTGCTGCTTTTTGAGACTTGCTTGAGTGCTCGGTCAATACTGTCTCAAATTTTTAGAGAAGTTGTATCTAAGTGTTTTCTCAAACCATTGAGATCTCTGAAGAAGCAGTATGAATTTGCATAGTACTAGGTTAGTTTCCTACTTGAATGGGTGCCCAAATTAAAATCCTAGAATATCCTGAGTTGGAAGGGACCCAAAAGGATTACTGAATCCAACTTCTGGCCCTGCACAGCACCATCCCCAAGAATCTCAGGCACCATGTACCTGAGAGCTTTGGTCCAAGTGCTTCTTTGAGCTCTGTCAGGTGCGCTGTGACCACTTCCCTGAGGAGACTGTTCCAGTGCCTAACCACCCTCGGGTGAAGAACCTTTTCTTAATATCCAACCTAAACCTCTCCTGACACAACTTCAAGCCAGTCCCCCAGGTTCTGTCACTGGTCACCAGAGAGAGATCAGTGTCTGCCCCTCCTCTTTACCCTCATCAGGAAGTTGCAGACTGCAATGAAGTTTCCTCTCAGTCTCCTCCAGACTGAACAGACTAAGTGACCTCAGCCATAAGCCTCTTCATATGGCTTCCCCTGCAGACCTCTCACCATCCTTGCTGCTGTCCTTTGAGCTCTCTGAAAGCTTTAGATCCTCCTTATATTTGTACCCAAAAATGCCCCCAGCCCTCATCCCAGGTGCAGAATCCAGTTCTTTGTTAAACTTAATATGGTTGGTATTAATTAATTCTAAAGTTAGAGGAGTTAGTTATCTTGTTCTTAGGATTACATTGGTGACTTCTAGATGGGGCATTTCTCTGTGGTGGTTTCAAATTTAGATTAGATTTTTGCAACAACATAAGCTGCAGGGCTCTTGTGGCAGAATAAATTACCATGGTACTAGATTTTAGATTATAGTTGTTAATGTAAATATCTCTGCATACTGATTTGTATACAGTAGCAAAATCAAAACACTGCTAAGAAAATAGAGATATGTCTGCTGTCTTGAGGCAAAGAACATTTGAAATTGATGAAAAAACTCACTGGTGAGACTAGAGAAGCAGATGCTAAGTATTTTCCACAGATCAGTCCAAATAAAATGGAGAAGTTCCCTAGGGACATACATAATAAGGAAAATAAACTATTTTTTTTTTGTTTAAGTAGTCTGAAAATAGAAAAAATAATAGGCCTAGACTGCCTGAAGATATGTTTTACTCTGTCAAGATAATGCTGAATTTTTCTACTAACCTTATATTTTTTTTAAAAATCATCTAAATTAAATATTGTACCTAGGTTTTCTGAATTATTAGGCTATGAAACTCCCACAGAGAAACTTCATCAAGGTAAGAACATCTGCTTAAATACTACCTTCCCCCAACCAGTCTGGAAGTTCAATAGGTGAACGAAGAAATTTCCCAAGGAGTTTATTTTTATGGTAAGTTAATTCCCCCTCTTCTTAAGTGCTAAAAGGAGTATTCCTCTTCTTAGTGTAGGCAAATCCTTGGATTTGCAAAGGAAAATGTGTGGAGATGCTGTTTCACATGTGTGCTGGCTTGGAGGAGTTCTGGTTTCAGGACTGTGTTGGAAGAAACAGTCTGTGATTAGTGTGAGAGAGGGGAGAAGTTGCTTTCGGAGTGGCAATAGCCTCATAAAAGCTCATTTGCCTCATATTCTTCCCCTCCAACCTAAGTGCTGTGGCCACGAAAATAAAAAAAGGTGAAGGCTTTGCACATCAAAAAATTACTAAAATCATTGTAACATGGGGTTTTTCTCCCCACAGCCCCACTGCCCCCTTGTGATTTTTCAGGGAGTTGGACATGTGCTATAAATCCGGGATGGAATAAGGGCAGGGAAATTGTTGCTTAATAGATCTCTCCTCCAGAAATGGAGCTTACAACATTCCTCAAGAAAGTTCTGTTCCCAAGGGATTTATCTGGCCCTTCCGTGAGCTGGTAGGAGAAAGGGAGAGGAGAGTTTTTTGGCAACCAAGAAATGTACTCTGGGAGCAATACAGGAACAACTTCAGGGGATATTTCAGATGGGGGAAAAAAATAGCGTTTGCGAAGGAACTTTGTGCGACCCGTTGTGTACTGGTGCTACCTGCTGCCAGAGGTGTTTGACAAGAGGGGAAGGAAAGGAGTTAAAGCACGAAGCCCGTGAGGTTGGCGGTGTGTGCGTGTGCCGGCGCTGGCCGGAGCAGGGTTAGTTTCGGATGTTTCGGAGCCGGGCGGGCTGTGCGGCGCTGGGCCCGCAGGGGGCGCTGCGGGCGCGGCCGGGAGCGGCGCCGGCCGCTCCTCATCCCCGCGGTTCTGGGGACAGCGCTCCGGAGAAGGGAAAATACCTGCAAATTATGGAACGGCTGCGGAATAGCTACCCTGGGCGTCCCGGCCAGAAACTAAACCTCTTCTGTTACTCTGAAAGTTGCTTTTCAGGAACGCTTGCCTGCACAGACACACATTCTCTTTTTCAAGTGCACTTCGCCTAGAGATTGTTTCCAAAAGCCAGTTTTTAAGTATTGTCAATATTTTACCTATTTGAAATGTTTACTGGACTGTTGCCAGACAGTCTTTTTGGAGCAGAGGATGGAGCCAGGACACCTGGGATCGAGGTTCGTGTCTCTGCTCCATCACAGAGCTGCTAAACACACTCAGGTAAAGCTCTCCCTATTCCCAAAGCCTTGTGCACAGGCTCTTCCTGGCAGCCCTGTTGTTCTGCATTAGATGAGATGAGATTAGATTAGATTAATCAAGCTACAAAGAGGACCTTCTTTGTGCTCCCTATTTCCAATAGAGAAAGTTTGGGCAAGAATTCCCACCCTTAAAGGACTAAGCAAATAAAATACTCACACTTTACTTCCGACCTCAGCTTTCAACCTGAATGCTTATTGCAACTTTTTTGTCCAGAAATTTAAAGTTTCAAAAGTGGTGAAAATTTCTGGGTAGAGGGGAAATTTGCTTTGATCCAAAAAGCACAAGCAAATTTAAAGCAGACATAGAAAAATAATTTTAATGTTGATTTCAAGGGATCTAAGCTCCTGCTTTTGAATAGTGTGCACTGCAAATGCAAAATTAATTCAATATTAAACTAAGGAATGCAAATAGAATTGATTTCAATATTCTTTTTACAAAATTGCCTGCAGAACAGAAAGACAGAAGAGGCATAAAAGAAATGGAAAAGAAGGCCAAAAGGAGATTCTTTGGGATGCTGTTGGTTTGCTTGCTTGCAGCAGATCTTAATGCAAATTTCAAAATCCAAAACTCTTAAAGATAAACTGCAAAATTCCAAAGGGCAGCCAATGTGCAGGATTGCATCCAAGAATCTGTGGTTAGTGGAAGCTTGTGCATCTGTACAAGGTAAATTTTACGTTTCTCTGTTTTTTTTACTCCTACTAATTACACAAAACACAAGAATATAATCTTATTAACTATTATTATTGTATAATTATGACTGAGAGTAATCAATAAGCGCATTAATTAAAAATAAGAACAATTTATAATCAGCAATTGCAGAGAGAGAGAATTTTATTCAGGTCTGTTTGGCTTTCTAGAGCTACAGACCATGTGGTCATCACAAGGTCTTTAAGTATCTGGACCATACTTTTTTCCCAAATGCCTTTTACTCTGACCAAGCTAGGAATTTTTTAAGCAAAGTCATCTTTACCTGACAGTGGTGGAAACACATCCCCGTTCTGAAGAATGGCTTGCACCAAAAACATCAATGATATTGCATTCAGACTTCAGAGTACTACATACCCAAGAACAGGGGATTTCAAGAGAGCTTGGCAAATGGATGGGAGAAAGATGATGGAAGTACGGAAGGATTTTTGCATAAGCCTTAGGGAGGGAAGAAGGAAAATTAAAGGGATGGTGCAAGGAAAGTTGCCAGCTGAAGGAAAGAAGGTGAAAACAGGTAAGAAATGAAGGTCCATTGATAGATAAGGGTTTATGGATACATTTAGCATCCATTATGTCTTGGCTAACTAGATAATTGTTCTAACATAAACCTTTCTTTTAAAAAGGTGAAAAAAGGGAGGAAATAATCCTTACAGGCATTCTAGGTTCTACACAATGTTATAATTTTCTGAAATACTTGCTTGGCATAAGGTTTGTTCCAAATGCTTGTGGGTTTTGATGGATTTGGTCCCAGTTCTACTGCCAGCCCCTCCAGGAAAGACGAGTTCTGGGGTAGCACACTGGGCTTTTCTCCCTCCTGCAGGGCAGCTGCCCTGGGTGCTTCAGCATCCTTCTTGTGCACTCAGCAGAGCATGCCTGGGACTTAAGGGACTGTCTTGCCTCATGCAAAATGTTTGCATATGTGTATTTTTTTGTAATTAGCGCAGTCAGGTCTTGATTTTATTTGTGACCTCAAATGCTACTAATTACAGCACTTAACTGATGAGGGAGCCCCTTCTCTGCTGTGGCTCCTGTTGCTAGACTTCTGCCTGAGAAGCTGGAGCTCATCAGAGGCTTTTCTCCATGTGTGTTGAGGGTGAAAAAGCTGGAATTTCAGATGCTTGTAGAGGCTGTGGTTTTGGCAGAGTTCAATATAAATGCATTATGCAGCTCTGCTTCTGGGTAGCAAGGGGAGCACTGAAGTGGCTGTGCAACAAAAGCCACTTGCCGGGCAGAAACACCTTGTAGTCACTCAGAGTAATTTG